CAGACATTTAGTTCTTTTTTTTTTTTTGTTAGCTTTTTTTAAATATTTACTTTCAACTTCTATTTCAATATTAAGAATTTTTTCAATAATGATAAATATAAGTATAAGATAAAGCAATCGGTTATTCATCGACATTAAATAAATAAGAATTATGTATGTCTAATATGTGAGAGAGAGAGAGAGAGAGAGATAGGCAAAGAGACAGAAGTAGCATATCGACGAATATATTATCTTATCTTATGACAAAATACTTGTCATCTACAAATAAACCAAAAAGATAAGAGATTAATTATACATATATGTGTATATATATATATATGTATATGTATAAATGTAAATGTCTGTTTATATCTTTCGAAAAAAGTCTTAATCGAAAAAAAAATAAATTAAAAATAATGGTTAAATTATTATTGTTGTTTTCAATATTAATTGGTATTATATTACCAATGGAATGTTTTTTAGGTGGAATAAGACGCACGTAAGATAAATATATTTTTAATAAAATAAATAAAAAATTAAAATAAATTTATAAAAAAACAAAAAGATGTCATTGTAAATCTGTTTCGGATACGGTTCATTTTCCATTTCATAAATGGAAAATTTCAAGTTGTGCATTTTGTACGTGTAATAATCCAGCTATGTCTAATTGTGAACAAGCATGTCAAGATATGGTTAGAAATTATGCTAATACAGGTTAATAAGAGATTATTTTATTTTTGACTATTTTATATAATTATTTTTCACTTATTATTTAATATAGGTTGTGGAAAAACAATACGAGGTTCAAAAACTGTTTATAAATATGATGCAGGTGGATGTGGAAAAGGTGTTGGAAAAGAAGTATATACTTGTGCTTAAAAACATAAAAACATTATCAATGTTTTATTATATTCTTTTCTTTTCTTTTCTTTTCTTTTTTTTCCGTTTTTTTTTTGTTTTTAAATAAACAAGCAATTGATTTCGTTTTTGACAGATTTTAATAATTAATTCAAAATAAATTTAGTTAAAAATATAAAAATAAAAATAATGTTCATATATTATATTTTGTTTGACTTTCTTTTTTTTTTTGTTCGTGACAAGATTCAGTTCCTGTAGTGTCATAAACCATTAATCAATTTGCAGAGATTCTATTATAACAAAAAAAAAAAGAAAAAAAAAAGAAACAACAACAACAACAACAACAACAACAACAACTCTTCACCATGCAATCCGATTTGGGAATGTCACGGAAGCAGAAAAATATTCCGCATTTTTTTTTTTTTCTTGTTTCTTGTTTCTTATTTCTTATTTCTTGTTTCTTGTTTCTTTTTCTTTTTTTCCTTTCTCATTCATCAATCGAAAGACGAGAAATAACGATCGGCAACCGTTTGAATTACGTTCAAATAGAAACAAACATATTTTTATTCTCGTTAACAGGTAAAAGAAGATTAAAAATTTCTTTTTCTTCTTCTTTTTTTTTTTTTTTTAATTAAGATAAACTATATTTAAAAAAAAACAAAAAAAATCTGTCAATTTGCGTGTTTTTATTGTGTCTAATAAAAAGTGAATATAATGATAAAATCTAATGTAAAACGACATAAACCTTGGTTGTTTTGTAAAATATAATAATTTTATCTGTCATCTATCTTGTATAATCTAAGTAAAAGAATAAGATCTTTGATTTTTTTATCGGTGTCATCACCTATCAAGCAGCATCATCTTATTATTATTCATATTATTATTTTCTTTTCTTTTATTTTTATTTTTATTTTAACATATGAAAAGAAAAAAAAAAAAAACTAACTAGACAGGAAAAAATATGTTGTCTGATCTTGTTGCTTAACTTCACTGAGTAAATGACTGACGACTCGTTTAATTGTTCATCTTCTCTTTCTTTTTTTCTTCCTGTTTTCTTTTTTTTCTTCTGTCAGCGTCGAATTGGTGTTCTGTTGCCGTCATCATCACCATCACTATCACCATCACCATCATCATTATCATCATCATCATCATCATTATGATTCTTCTCGTTGAAAATACAATTAAAGCGGAAATGACAAGAAACAACTTTGATGATGATTTTGGTGTTTGTGCCCGAGAAAAACTATAGAGAAATGCGTTTGTTGGTATTGTTTATTATGAAAAAGGAGACGATGATGACGATGAAAAACATAATAAATGAGTCAGTTTAGTTTGCTTGATTAGACTGTTCATGTCAGTTGAAATATTCAATTAGAATGTCATTTTTTGTTTATAACCGTTCGAGAGAAACGAATAGAATATATTAAGGTGACATTTACGATAAAAAAAAAAAAAGAAAAAAAAGTAAAGTAAGACAATGGCATTGATATAATTGTGTGTGTGTGTGTGTGTTTTTTTTTGCTCATGTTTCATATTGGTATAAGTTATTGAAATTAGTGACATATGCTTTTCTACATTCTATTAGTGCGTGACAAACAAGTGCCGGAAGTTAGCTGTTGCTTATTCTTACATTGTTAATCGAATTATTCCGTTGGTTTTTGTTTTTGTTTCATATATATCGCTGAAACCGATCTCTACTACCTAATATTTATCCCTGATAGAAATATGAAGAGGAAAAAGCAGAAACATGTTTTAGCCTGTAGACTCACACATCCACACATATCAATTATAAAAAAAAAAGAGAAAGCGAGAATATGGAAAAAATGTTAGAGAAAAAAGACATGCAGACATATATATATATAATCATCGTTAAGTATTAGTGCTTTACTCAATGCGTTAACATTGACATGATCTTATCGAAGAAAATCCGAATGACACTCTTGGGAATAAAATGAGTCTATTTTAGGTCTACTCAATGTTACAAAGATCATCAAGTGGATCAATAAAACTCAATCGACGACATATTGAAAAAATGCCTAAATATCAATCAGTAAACAATGATTTACTTTTAAGAGATAATAATTTAAATCAAATAAATTTTATTGAAAATTCCCTTACAAATAAATATAAATTTACATCAAATTATTCAAATAGATATAATATTAATTATAAAACAGGTTAACTATTTTTATTTTTCTTAAAAAAAAAAAAAAAAAACTAATAAATTTTTTCTATTTATTTTTTTTTTTTTAAAAAAAATAATATTAGGTAAAAATGTAAATAATGAAAATAATGAAAAAGAAGAATATAATAAAATGAAAAATTCAATAAAATGTAATCGAGCATCATCATCATCATTATCATCATTAAAAAAAGAATATCGTCGATCATATTTATCTTCTTTAGTTGTTTTACCTAATTTATCAAATAAAGATAATTTATTTGAATATAAAAAATCTCTTAAATCTTATTCATCTCTTAATAATTTATCAACAATAAAAAAATTAAATAAATCAAATATTAAATGTGAATATAATTCTTTTTTACCTTGTTCATCATCATATGAAAAAACAAAATTAAATAAATCAAATAATTTTTATTCAAATTTAACAAGTCATCAATCAATAGATATTATTAAAGATAATTGTTCAAATGAATATTTATATGAAACAAATAATTCTTCTACAAAATTAAAATCAAAATCAAATTATCAATCATTAAAAACTACAAGAATTAAATTAAGTTTACCTATATTATCAACTGGATTAAATTCAAATTATAATCGTTATTATAATAGAACAAGAGAAATAAATGAAAATAGTCTTCAAGGAGAATTTACATTACCAACAAATCCTCCAATAACAGTTACAATTCAACCACAAAATAATATAAATGATGATAATATTGAAAAACAAACATTATTACATGATGATCAAATATATTCACCTGATAATATACATTATATTAATAAAAAACAACGTATTAGTATTGATCAATCATTAAAAGGTACATCAACAATAGTTAATTATTTTATGGATTTATTAAAACCAAGTGATAATAAATTAGCTATGAAATTATTTGGAAGTCGAAAAGGTGTACTCAAAGAACGTTTAAGACAACAAAGATCTGGTCATTGTATTATACATCCATGTTCAAATTTTCGGTATTTAATTAAAAATTTTTATTTAAAAGAATATTTTTATTTTTTATTTTCATTAATAGTTTTTATTGGGATTTAATAATGTTAATATTATTAATAACAAATGTTATTGTTTTACCAGTAGCTATTGCTTTTTTTAGTGAAGATATTAATTCAGCAAAATGGATTACATTTAATGTTGTTTCTGATGCTTTTTTTCTTTTTGATATTGTTGTCAATTTTCGAACAGGTTTTATTTTATTTATTTTAATTTATTTTAATTTATTTTATTTTATTTTATTTTATTTAAATAGGTGTATTAAGAAATGATTATATTGATGAAATAATCCTTGAACCACATTTAATAGCAATGCATTATATTAAAACTTGGTTTATTATTGATTTACTTAGTTCATTACCAATTGATTATTTATTTTTATTTTTTGATACTGGTGATCATTCAGGTGGTTATTCAATAGCTCGAACTGGTAGAGCTATTAAAGTTCTTAGACTTGTTAAATTACTTTCATTATTAAGATTACTTAGATTATCACGTCTTGTTAGATATATTCATCAATGGGAAGAGGTTTGTTTTTATTTTAGAAAATTTTTAGTTTTAAATATATTATATATTATATATTTATAATCAATAATATTTAAATCAAATTCATAAGGAAAAAAAATATTTTTTTTCATATATAATTTATTATTTTTTTTGTTTTTTGTTTAGTTTTTATCAATAGCAAGTATGGTTATGCGTATTCTTAATTTAATAGCATTAATTATATTATTAGCACATTGGAATGGATGTTTACAATTTATGATTCCAATGTTTCAAAATTTTCCATCTGATTGTTGGGTTGCATTAAATGGTCTTCAAAATGCTCCATGGACAGAACAATATACAGTTGCATTATTTAAAGCTCTTCCCATATGTTATGTATTGGTTATGGAAGATATCCACCTCAATCTTATGTTGATATGTGGTTAACAATGCTTTCAATGGGTATTTGAAAATTCTTATTCTATTATTTCTAAATAATATTATTTTATTTAGTTATTGGAGCAATGGGTTATGCTGTTACTATTGGACATGTATCAGCACTTGTTCAAAGTTTTGATACATCAAGACGTTTATATAATGAAAGTAATTTAACAANATTGTTTTGAAAGATTTATTAGATGATTTTATTTCAAAAGTTTACCGTTTATTTGATTAAGAAAACTTCTGGAAGGAGATGTTTGATATTTAGAATAATTATCAAAATTGAAATTATTTGGAGTTTTATCGATTGAAAGTTGTTTATTTGAAGTAGAACTTGTGATTTTTTGTGTAAGATGAATACTATTGCTGCGTGATACTGATGTCATCAATAAAGGGAACATTAAGCGTTGTTCCAGGGGAGTAGCCAGGGGGTACACAAGGTGCTCTGGCACCTATCTTGGCCAAGAAACATCTGGAGAAGAGTATCGGTGAAAAATCTTTTCGAGAAACAAAAATTTATTTTGTTTGCTGGTGTACACCCTCCATAATGAGTCGGGCACCTCCTTTAGAAAATTCCTGACTACGCCACTGCGCTATTGTCAACTTTTGTTCCATAAACTTGAACTATACTTAAGTTTATTAGAAGATGCCAACATAACTGAAACCTCGTCACTGTCGATCTTTGGAGAAGAAAAACATATCTGACTAAATTTTATGTGCAAGAAATTATTCTTTTTATTGTAGAAGACTATGTAGTGAGACTCAGAAGATCAAGTTCAATGAATCTGAATCACGGTCTTATACGAATGGGATATTTAAAGGCACTCTCTACGCCCCTTTTCGAGGTTTGTGGCGAATGGCTCTCCAGAAAATTTTCAAATTTTGAGATCAGTTAGATCTTGACGAGTAAAGCAAAACTTGTCATAGACTTACAGTTTTCCAGATGCTGTCTTCTATGAAATACTAGGATAACAATCGCGAAACGTAGCTTCAATTCTCTTCCAATTTCCCCGAGGGGCTATATTCGGCCGAGCTGGAAGTTTTTTTTACGAGTATTAGACACATTTTTGGGTGGGTATTGTTTTTTGTTCCTTTTGATTTGTTGTTCTTCAAATATACAAGCAACAAGGTCGAACGTACACTCGAAAAAAAAGGCATATAGTTTCGAATAAAGCTTTTCTATAAAGTTTAACAAAAACTCACAGAGTATTAATTTTTTTAAAACAAAAATAATATTCATCTCAGACAGCCTGCACTGTACGCCAAAAAATATTTTAGCTCGATGTCACATACTAGGTGGGAGAAACGACAGGGTGCTTTGTTATTTTTTTCATGAAGGAAATGGTTTGTGAAAAAAGGCGAAACAATTTAGTTTTCGCTTTTTCCGCTATGGAAACTTGATATCTTCTCAATTCTTTTAACGTTTAAAACCAACTTTTGGATCCCAAAATATATTTAGTAGTTAGCTAGTACATCCGATCAGAGCTGCAACTAGTAGCACTTTTCCTTACCAGTATCGTCCATAGAATAAAAAGAATGCAACAAAATAGAATATTTTAAACCATTTTAATAAAACTTTTCTTACAGAAAAATGATCATCAAAATCAAAAAATGATATTTCAGATAATGAAACTGATAGAAACGTGCACTTTTTTAAAGGTCATCGATTATTTTCAAAATTTTCATTAATGAAAATGCTGAATTTTATATCAAATCATGTCGTAAAAATCATTAAAATTACATCAAAACTAATGGTATTAAAAACGTTAGACTGTCATAAAAGACAATGGTGCTGTTTTTTTGCCACCTTAAGACTTCAACAGCCTTACGTGAAAGAATTTATTTTGACTTTTTCCAAATTTCAGATTCATTATCCTTCGAAGAACTACGTATTAAACTTTTGTACAGGTCATCTTAAGTTGTACCATTGTAAGGTAGTAAGTATTTAGAGTTATAAAATTAACAATTTGCGTTGTGAAAATCAATGCAAGATATCTTTCTTGTCATTACCTGTTCTATTTTTCGTAAAAACGATACATGTATGAACAAATCTACAGATAAACTTTAAATCAATCATTTTTCATCACGTAGTTTTATAAAAAAAAAATTGCTGTTTCATGATATATTTCACACTAAAGTCATCGATTAAAACAATTTTTCATTGAAAACAGAAACGCTTTTCAATAGTCCAGAATCTTGGAAAAATTCGGCGACTCAACTAGAAAAGTAAAATGAAAATAATGCGCTAAATCTAATTTTCATTAAAAATTCCAAAGTCATTCAATGAAAAGACAAAAAAGTATTACAAGTAATACTGTGATTTCGATTATCTATGAATAATCGAATAGATGGAATGATAATAATGGAAACAAAATGAAACTATTATGGGTGCTTCTACGCAGGGTCTCCCAAAGTTACATCAACTTTCAGCCGACAAGTTCTTAGTATACTAGCTTTGTAGAAATCGTCGAGTTGCGTAAGAATCTATATTTTGTTTTAGTTTCGAGCGTGCGGTTTGGCTGGAAACCGGGCTGAAACACCTGATTTTTAGCAAAGAATTCCCCCCGAAAATTCTCTGTGTTATTTTAATCAAACATGTTACAAAATTTCTTATGCCACCATAGGATAGAGCGCTCAAAGTTGTATATATGAAGCAATTTTCAAGACTCTATCATGCAGTTTCATGATTGGATGTCATTCACAAAAATAGGAAAGTTTCATAGTTATATAGAAATTTCGTATGGTTACTATCAGCTCAGCATGACCGTTATAGAAATCTTTTTATTGTTCAAATGTAGAAAACCTATCCATGTTAGTGTCACTAACCCGAATCATATCGAATCTATTATTTTCGAGATATGACTTAGAGAAAGGTCGGAATCTTCGAAAAATTCCGGCCCTTCTAGGCAATCTTCTCAAAAACTACAAATGAGATTTTGCTTAAATTTTTTTCTAACTATATTCCTATAGGTACTATTTATGATCAAAATATCAAAGCTCACATTTCAATATTAACAAAGACACAATCATGTCAAGTTACCATATAAATGGGCTTCGTACTGGTAGTGTAAAAGAATATTATGGGCTTTTCGACTAAAGGTAATTTTGCATGCTGAGTCCGAATATATCATTAGATTGGTTGCTTTCAATCAATCTGAACATGTTTCGCAGGCACGAACTATTGTAGTGCTTTAATAATTCCTGACTGAAAAACATGTTCAGATAGATTGCAAGTAACCAATATAATGTCATATTCGAACTCAGCATGCAAAATTACCTTTAATCAAATGTTAGTTTTCTTTTCAAAAGCCTACTATATTCTTTGACACTAGCAATCCGAGACCCGTTTATATGATAACTTGACATGACTGGTTTTAGCTCACTCTTTAGATATCCTTTTGAAGTAAACAATAGATATTGAATTGATCTCCTTGATTATTACCTTTTGCTGAATTGTTGTAGCTTCTGATTATCTAGTCTGTCTTGAATACATCTCAACGACTAACAGCCTGAAAGCTTAGTCTAAAATGAGTACTCTTAGCGATCCTTAACTTCATTCCTCTTACTTTTAAGTAAATAACAGCATTATTTTGCATGTTGCTCAATAAAAAAAAATGATGGAAACTGCTCGCACTGGCCCATGATGATACATTTTTGTGCGATAATTTTTTTATTTGTCAATTTAAACATTTATCACTAATATAGATAGAATTACTAGTCCTTATGCAAATCACTAGATATCAAATAAGGATTCGAATGTTCTTAAATGGTTGACACATATTATTGTTTTTTTGGTATATTTGTTAGTGAATGTCACTTAGAGGACGAGTTTCTCTTGTTGCTCTAAGTTTCAATAATGTTTCTCATCCAATATTGCGATAGCACATCTATGTCTGATAACCGCTAATGGTATCACATAAAATCTGTTCACCACTTACAAACTTCTGCAAACTTTTGAGGGCTAAAAAAACTATCAGAATTCAAGCAATAACCAAGGAAGTTAATTCAATATCTATTGTTTAATTCGAAGGAATATTTAAAGAGTATGTTAAAAGGATACAATTTCCCATGGAACATAACAGCAACTACCTCGAATATATGGCATAGAAAGATAGATGAAATGTCGTTTCCCTAAATAGATACATCAATGTTCCGAGAACTTTTTGATCACCCTGTATATATATATATAGATAGATAATATGTTCTAAATGTCTGATAACGACAATATACCATATATATTTTACTGTTAGATAACAAAAGAGATAATAATTATGAAAATAAATAATAAAGATCTTTCTTGCTAATTATCAAACGAGAAAAATGTGCAAAGTTGAAAAAATCAACTGATGACACACACTATTTTAAAAGCAATCAGATGATTTATTGAGTTTCGCAAGGCTTTTAAAGACCTTTTTCTTTTTTTAGAATGTATTCTGAAAAAATATGAATTTGTGAATAAAGAGAGATATCGACACATTTACAGACGACTTTTCATTAAAAAAAGTTCTTTACATATTTGAAAACGAAATTCATTAAAAAATCTCCTAAAAATCATCTTGTTTTTTTTTCTGCTTTCTTTATGCTTTTTACTTTTTAATATAAAATCATAGAAAGCATGTCGATTGTTTGTTTATTCATAATTGAATATATATATATATATTAAAATAGTATTGTTAAAAAAGGCGAAAACTCTCGTCAGAAACAAACAATTTTTCATGTTGATATAGCAAACCATATAACAACTAACAATGGCTATTATATAGATTATGAAATATAATAAATTCATTTTTAATTTTATTTTGTCGAAAGTTTACAAAAAAAGAATTCTTAAGAAATAATTAAAAGGAAAATGCGTGAAAATCTCGGCTAATAAATGTTATTAAATATATGAATAATCTGTAAGATTGAATTTAATTCTATTATAAATAATATAAAAATTAAATTTAAAATAAAGTCTATCTAAATATAATTTGTATAAAAAAGAAAAATAATGTTAACCTGTATGATTATAACTATTAACAAGAATTGATCTTAAATGTGTTTGAAAATTAGTATAATTAACTTGTTTAAGCCAATGAATATGATGATGAACAAATAATTTATTACATTGATCTTGATCATAACAAGCATATTCTAAAACATTATAAAATTCCGATTCTGTATTATTATCTTTATTAAACATAATTAAAAAATCTAAACGTTCTTCATCATAATCAAGTTGACTCTATCGAAATGGATCTCCAAAACTAATTATAACTTATTGAGATTTATAATCAATATATATTTCAGCTGGAAAAGCAAAAATTGGTCGATAAGAAAATTAGTCGAGAGATTCCAAATAAAAAAAATAAAAGTTTCGAATGCGACGAATCAATCAAAGTATTACAAGAAGAAAACGAAAGACACCATTAGTAAACTGTCAATCACTACACCGGAGCTTTTTTTTCTTAATAAATGTAGTATATGAACTAGAATTACGTTTAAATTTAAAATTGTTAGATTCATGTATTTTCATGAAATTATATCAAAATTAATTATGATAGAGCTATGGAACTAAAAAAAAAGCATTTTGAAAGGGTGGTATGATTGTCAGTGTAGGTGCGAGCGCAGGCAAAGGTACGGGTGCAGGTGTGAGTATCAGACCTAGTGTAAGTTCTAGTTTGTGATGGGGTTCAAGAGGAACCATCGCAATATCCGCACACATTTTTATTTTCATTTTTTCTTCTGCTTAAAACCAACTGTTCTGGAGAAACGTTGGGATTCGCTTTACTTATACAGGGTAGTACGACAAATATTTTAACCCTGATCCGTCAACCTATAAAATGCTCAAATTCAATCAGTCTCTCTCGATTGTTCCCTAAGTATAATGATTACATTTTTTCGCTTCAATTTATATTATACTGAAGAACAACGGTGTGTACCATTAATATGAACTGTTTTCGTCTGAGGTCCGTACGGACCCAAGGTTGATGAACCAGGGTTAAGTACCAGTGATAGCTTATATACTAATATTAATTTATTTTTCACACTGTTGTCGCTTTTGTTGAGAAATTCGTCTTTCTTTTTTTAAAATTAATTTCTCGACTAGTTTTCCCGTCGACCAATTTTCGTAGGCCCATTTCAACTCTACACATGTCAACATTATAATCATAAACAGGAAATTGATCAAGTTTTTCTTTAAATTTATCATAATTAAAATCATATAATGACCATTCAAATGATTCTTCCGAATAAACACAATATATTCCGAAAATTTCTTTCGGAATATTTAATAATAATAATAACAACAAGAATAATATCATCATATTCGACTATTATCATCGAATGAATCTTACTGTTTTTTTGTTTTTATTATATAAATACTTTATTGTTTATGATTATCTCAATCAATCATTTAGATTTAATATTATTTCTTAAAAAAAAATATTTATTGCTTTATTAGTCTTTAATAAATATTTATTCTTATTTAGTCAATTTATCAATCAGATAAAATAATAAACTTAGTTTATATTATATTAAACTAGACAAATGTAAATTTGCATGTTTTATAAATGCTGAACACATATGACTGATGTAGACCTATGGAAGAATATTTTTTTACATTTCTCCTCGATTTTTCTCATTCAACAAAAACACTTGTTCTTTTATAAAAATATAATGCTTGAAATTCTGCACGAAATGTTAGATTTAATCTAACAAATAAATTCTTCTCCATTTGTTTTTCATAAAATTCCATCAATGTTATCATTGTTATTAAGTACTTCCTCAACAGTTCTTCGAAATGAATTCGATAAAATGATGAGAACATATTTTTCAGTGAGGTGATGCGTGTGAGATCTTACCCCAATCATGTTGAAAGAATGTCTTTGATGCATCTCTATCTATAGATTGTTTGATATTCTAAAATGATGATCGCTATCAATCCTTACTGACATATACCTAACCAAACTATTATTACCTTGATCATCATTCTAATGATTGTACAGATCATCAGAATAAAAAATAAAAATTTTTCACCTATATAAAAAGATATCTTTTCGTGTTATATATCATTTATTTATTCAACAGACAATTTCCTTTTGGATAGTTTGTTTATTGTGAGTTAGACAACATTTCATCTTCAATGATTTTGAAAATATAAAAGGAAAAAATGACCAAGATGACAATAAAAAGAAATTGTTGAATTATTCAAAGATAAGCTCAATAATAGTAGACATCTATTGAAAATTCTTTTTAGTTATATTTATCTATTATTGGTTGGTAGCTGGATGAAGAATAGACTTCAAAATTAAATATTGAATGAAATTCTTTATTATAAAATTCTAATTAATCAACTGTTTGAATCGTTTAACAATTAAATATAATAATAATAATAATAATAATATAAAAAAAAAGAGAATAAGGCAAATATAAGAAAAATGCAAATTATTTAAAATGATAATAAACTAAAATGTAAATAAATGATAATTATAATGTTTCGATTTTTTCACATGTAACATCCATAAGTAGAGTAGCACCAGGTGGAATAACATTACCAGCACCAACATCTCCATAAGCATATGATGGAGGAATTATTAATTTACGTTGTTCACCTTCACATATACTATACGAGAATTTCATTTTCAATTTATTTATTTGAAAAAAAAGAAAATAACAAATATTAAATAATTACTTGATTAAACCTTGATCCCATCCTTTGATAGCTTGTCCATAACCAATTTTAAAAACGAATGGATAACCCCGATCATATGATGAATCAAATATTTCACCATTAGATTGTAAATGACCCTAAAAATATTTTATTTATTATTTAAACAATTATTAATAATTAACTTACTATATATTGCATATATAATGTATCTCCAACTTTTGATCGTCTACTACAATTTTCAATCTTTTTTGTTGTCATTACTTGTAATTTTTCCTCAGCCAATGATAATACATTGAGAAACAAACAATTTATTAGCACAAATAATACATAAATAACCAATATTGACTTCATTTTAATCTAAGAAGAAAAAAAACGTATTTTAACAAATAAAACCGAGAAAATAATGTAATCGTAACAAATAGAAGAAGGAAACAAAACAGAGGTCAAATCTACAAATAGATTGACTCGTGTTTTTCTTTTTCTTCCGTTGTATAGAACATCGATAATATATGATAATACTCAGTCTTCTTATCGATATAGAGAATACATATCCTTCGTTGGAATATATATTTTATCTTTTCTGTCGAATATATTATTCTTATGTTATTGGCATTTCCTTTAAACATCTCGAATAGTTTTATTCGAATAAATTAATTTATTTTAGTTGAAAAATAATATCGATAGAAACTGTAGACTTTTTCAGTGCTACCGAAAATAAATTTCCGCTATCGATCGATGTCGGTCAATATCTTTGATCTAGAATAAAAACTATCAAAATTTCTATTGCTTCTTCTCAATATGTTTTGATTTTTTTCAGTAAAATAAAAAAAAAAAAATGATGGTTAAAATCATATTTCTATAAAGATGTTTTGTTTTTTATTTTAATTAAATATAATATGATTAAATCTTTCATCATATGCTTTAAATAAAATAAATTTAGATAAATCATAAATGAAAGAAATTTGTTTTTTTTTTGTTCATGACTAATAAATATATTATGTATGATTAAAAATGAATTGAATTGAGTTCTGATGAATATTATTAAGGTTTCTTTCAGTTTGATGCAGCTCACTGATTCAACTTCTTTCATAAAATCGACAATAACAAACAAATAAGAAAGTCATAAGAAAAAAAAAAGAAAGTTCTTTATTCAATTTTATTTCTTTTTCTATAAAGTAAAAGTAAAAAAAAAAAAAACCATGGATCAATATCCATCTCCTTATGTATCAGTTGTTCCACGAATACTTCCGTCTCAATATCCATCGAAGGTTTTTTTTTTTGTTAAATATTAAATAATAAATGAAAAAACTTGTTTATTTTAAAGAAAATTCCAATAAATGATGAATCTAATCAATATATTGAGAATAATTCCTTAAGATCATATACAAGTCCAACAACGATGTTAAATCGTTCAGTTAATTATCCTCCATTATCAACAAGAACACAAATAATTAATAATAATGAATTAAATCAACAAGAAAATCCATTGTCTAGCCCATCATTTGTTTCAAATAATATTGAAAATCCTTTACATGGTCGAACAAAGTTTGTTTGTTTGTTTATTTAATAAATAATAATGAAAAAAATTTATATTTAAAATAGCAGCCGTATTCATCATGAACCACTTAAAGGTAATAGTGGAGATATTATTCGAAGAAATTCTTATTCGAACTATGTTTATCCAAACAATTATGATTATGGTTTATATGATAATTTAAGAAGAAATTCAAATCAAGATAATAGAAATGATAAAATGTCTATAAATGGATATATTATTATAATTGCTATTATTATTGGATTATTTGCTTTAACAGCATTAGCTATTTCCATTTATTTACTTGTTAGAATAACAACAACATAAATAAATACTAACAAGATAAACATATTTATTTTTATTTATTTTTTATTCTTTTTTAAATAAATATAATAACCAATAAAGACATTTTATTATAAAAACAATCAAACAAAGATATTCATATTTTAAATAATTCTTATTCAAATAATTCAATTTATTTATTTCCTAAGTCTTTTTTATTTAAGATAAATCATTAAAAGAAAATTGATCGATCGAAATTTTCTCTCCCTCTCTTGTATTAGATAGTAATCATTATATCGTTAGTAAATCATTATCTAAAGACAATAGATCTATGTTGATATCTGATCAGTAAAAAAGACTTCCAAACAACGAGATACACAGATAAACAGATTTATTTTTAAATTCAACACTATTTATTGAAACTTATCGAAAATCAATTTTAAATTATCCATAAATTAATAATTTAACTAAAATCCTAATAAGAAATTAATTTATATCTAGTTCAATATGAAACATAACAATCGAACATTAAATATATCGATCATTTTTTACTAGTTAATGATAAACTGAGAAAATTAATAAGACATTTAAATAAATAAACGAATAATTATGAAATTTTCCATTCTGCATATAAATATAGTGTATTATTGATAAAAATTCTTTATTTTTTTAAGTTTAACTTATTTAAGAAGTATTCTAGTCACTTTTGAAAATGATTTATTTTAAAAAACAAAAAAGTTTTATCAAAAATAGTGTTATATTGGTTGTCTGTTTTCAGTCTATTGAAAGTTTTTCATTAAACGCTTTTTTTGTTGCTCAACTCTAAAATCTGATATTTTGATCAATGAGATTATCGAAAACTTATTGTTATTGATTATCTATAATAAACTCAACTAATCAATATCTTAATTATAAGCTAAGAGAGTGATCACTCACTTTTCAATAAAAAACATCTCGACAATATCAAAAAAAAAACTTGTTTTAGTTCTATCTCAATATATTTACCTCTTGTCTTAACGAATGTTTTCGAAATTCTCCTTGTGAATATAATCACGACACGAAACGACGAACTTTGATGTTTAAGTTGAGAAAATAAAAATAAGATTTGAATAAAAAATTAGACGTCGATTGAGTTCAAATGAAACATATCGATTATGATCAACGTCGTTCATTTTATACAGGGTGCTTTCACGCAGGCTCTGCCAAATTTACATCGACTTTCAGTCGACAAGCTCTTCGTATGTTAGTTTTGTAGAACTCGTCGAGTTGTGTAAGAATCTATATTTTATTTTGATTTCGAGCGTGCGGTTTGGCTGGAAAGTGGGCTGAAACACCCAAAATTTTAGCAAAAATCCTCCCCAAAAATCCATTGTTTTATTTTAATCAAACATGTTACAAAAATGTCGACACCACCATTAGATAGAGCGCTCAAAGTTGTATATATGGAGTCATTTTCAAGACTCCACCATGAAGCTTCACGATTAGATGTCATTCACAAAAATAGGAGAATTTCGAAAACATTCGTTAAGACAAGAGGTAAATATATTGAGATAGAACTAAAACAAGTTTTTTTTTTGATATTGTCGAGATGTTTTTTATTGAAAAGTGAGTGATCACTCTCTTAGCTTATAATTAAGATATTGANAGTTGCATGATGTTGAGGTATTGGTGGTGGATTAATAACTGATAAAACATAGTCTAAAACATCGGAAAATTCTATTATTTTAATGCAAAAATAACTGAAACTTACTTAAAGCATCATTGAATTCTTCCAAGTCCTTGGGATTCTTGAGCTCTTCTTGTGCTTTATCAATACTGTCGATCTGCAATTTCCAGCTAAAATCATTTTCTTCAATTGTTTTATAATCGATTGAGAGATGAGCAATATCAAACTGTGATGTTGTGCCTATCCATTCTATCTGCATGTGAACTACTTGTGAATCACAAGAATAGCTCAGACATACGGATGGTTCGTTCTTTACAGGTTCACCTGTATTTCCTATAATTACAGAAAAACAAATAAAGTTTATCAATTTATAGATTTTGTTTACCTTGTGAATCATCGAAACTTTGTTTATCTGTATTGGCGCCACTAGAGGGTGTGGGTGTGGGTGGGTGTGGGGATGTGGGGGTGTGGGGTGTGGGTGTTGGTGTGGGTGTGAGTGTGGGTGTGGGTCTGGGTGTGGGTGTGACAGAAAAGAAGACACACCCACACCCACACCCACGCTCACACACCCACACCCACACACACACCCACACCCCATAACGATCCAAAAGGATCATCTCACATATCTATCAATAAGAAGTATTCAAAGCGAATTAAAATTGATACAGTCAATGATGTTCTTAAATCATTTAATGGTTATATTAACTCATCATCGGATGATGATGACAATGAACCCGTTGATGAAGTATCTGATTATATTAAAGCCAAAATCTTATATCCAAAGGGTGAATCACTCTTACGATGGTGGCAGAACCATTCTTCTATATACAGAAAGTAAGCTCATTTTAAGGACTTTTGCTTTTCTTGTATGAATAGAGAAAATTAAATAAAACATTAGAATTCTGGTTTTTTGTAGTTTGTCTCAACTGGAATGCTCACTTTTGGCTATACCTGCAAGTTCTGCACCATAAGAAAGAATTTTCAGTACAACAGGTCGAATTCTCGAGGCTCGGCGTCAACAACTATCACCAGATTCACTTGATTCACTCATGTTTTTACGAAACTTTTAATTTATTTGTATACATATATAATTTAACTGTGGTGTTTGCATCTTTTTGTGCTTAATATTTATTGTAACTATTACAGTAGTTAAACTTGAACATGATAGTATATTCGATTGTACTATTTAGTTTTGTTATGACTATAGATTTCCATGCGTTTTGTTATTTTCATGAACTTTGTATTCTTTTACGTGATAAAGATTGAAATAAATAAAGTAATCCATTTACTAAAAAAAAAACAATTTTATTTCTCGGGTCGGATCGGCTATCGAGTTGTACTTGTCGGGTCGGGTAGAATGTCGGGTTTAAAAAAATATCGGGTCGGGTTCGGGTATGAAAAGTCGTACCCGTGCAGGACTCTAACCCACACCCACACCCTTTTTCTTCTTCATTTTATTCAAAGCATCATATTGGATCCTACCGTCACATCAATGAAATTGTACTCACGTTAATCTGGTTTCTTTCTTGCTATGATTCTAAATTATCTTTACATGCCCCTATGTAGGCGCTTCCAAGCGTAACATCAAGCAGTAAATAAAACTGCACGAATATAATTGTCTTTCACATTGAATAATATCCATTTAATCTGATTACAATAGTTTTTCTTCAAACAATGGATTAACATTTCACTTGACAACATGTTTCTGTTTTTTTCATTTTGTTAAAAAAAGTACTGATGTTCAGAATAGTACAAATTGCCAGTAGAATACAAAGCTTATAATTCCCGATGCATTACAATTTAGAACACTTTTATATTCCAAAATGAAATGCTTAGAATATCATGATTAATTCTTTACTTCAATCAATTTTTTCCAACAATCAATCATTCTATTGATCTTATTATCACTAACTTTCCTTCAATTGATGCCTACACATTACCCCTTCTCTTTGATTTGTTTCTAAATTAAAGTTCATGATCAACGAACAAAATAAATTATATGAACTTATTTAATTAAAGAACAATTATTATATATTTTATTTTATAGATTTTGATGTTGACTAGTGCAATATTACAGCAGTTATTTTCATTTTTTGTGCGTATCTCTAAATAACATGATTTTTTCTTCAAACACAATGTGTTTTATCCTATCACAAAGAAGAAAACCAATGCTTGCCATTGATAATTCCGTATTTGAGCTGAATAAAACGGTCATCGCTACAAAATACTGTCGATGTGAGCATGGTGAATGTGATGCCACGGTACATACGGTTATAAATGATGTTTTTTTAAAAACTAATCTAATTGAATCAGAAAAAAAAACTGATTGACTATTTTCATTCTAAAGTTAATGATTTTGTATTTTTTTAATATCTTTTGCTTCGACATGTCGCTTTTCTGTATTTTTCCTTTCTACCTTTTTCCACCATACCCTTCTTATTTTCTCTTGTATGTTGTTTTTTTATGTTCCTGTAATATTCTTTCTTTTTTTCTCTTTCTCAATTCAGTTATTCTCACCTTATTTTATCAAACCATGTGACATGGCACAAATCTATTGTTACTTTTTCTCTGTATGCCACGTCATCGTTCGCGTTCGTATACTCGAACAACTATGAATGCATACAAAAATCCATGTGAATACTTACGCATGCAACAAAAACAACAGCAAAATCACAAACAAACGTATACTGACGACATTCATCAGTGTAAAGAACACATCTAAAATCTTATCATTCGTATTTTTCTTCTTGCATCCTGATAAGTACATAAAACAAAAACCTACCGGTGACTTAATTCAAACTACGCATATTATCGATCGTCGGATGTCCACAAGTGGAAAAAATCGCAATGACAAGAATGTACTTCATGCAGCAACTTATTCTATACTGGAACCTCACGAAATACATTTACATTGTGTCCGTATGCACGAAGCGGAAGATGAATTCGAGTTAATAGCAGACTTTGGTAATAAAATTACATTCACACTGAATGGCGAACAACAACTTTGTAGCAAAGATAGATGTGTTCCATTTATTTATAAACTCAATCTTATTATAAAAATAGACGAAAGTAAACAAAGATATGTTTTCCATGAGAATAGTTTTAAATGCGTTGATAAATATGAACTTATCATTTCTCGACCTGGTCCTTTTATTAAAACTGTTAAGTTTCAACATCAAGAAAAATTTAGCCAAGAACATACATTACCCAGCAATTTTGAGGATTCTCACCATTTCCTTTTTGATATTCATTTTTCCAAAAAGGCTAACATGGAACCACCAGGTGAGAATTTATAATCTATCATTAATACATATTGAGTATTATTTTTCTAGGGCTTAGTGCAAATTATTTTGATGATCTTTGCTTGTTCACTTATTATCTTCTTTTCAATCATGAATATCATATATTTGACATTCTGGCACATCAGTTTCAAGTCAATCTTGAAAATAACAATCGTATATTTGATAAAACAAATTATAAGAGTTTTTTCCAGACGTGTAACTCATATATAGATAATATATTGACAGATTTAGAGACTCTTCTTATCACTTTGAAAATTATTCTACGTATGATTGGACTTTTACTTATCAAAGAAGAAAATTTTATTCGGTATGATGCAGACGCCAACAAATTTGCAACAAAAATCATGTTAAATGTTCGACAACAATTCGATAGTCTGCTTAATGAGATAAAAAACGACGAACAGCCTTTGTTTAGAAGTGGTCTTGCAATACTCGTATGCATCGAATTGTTATATCAAACAGCTAATAATTCTAATAATAATAAACTTGAATTTCTTCATCAAATCTCGCATGAGAAACAACGTCAAGATATTGCCAATGAAATACTTGCGCAACTTTATAAGTTGAATCAACCTATCTATGTAAATGCTATTTGGACTGATCTTTTTACATTGGTGCATCCAGATATGATTAGGCTGCAAGATGTATGTTTAACGAACTCATTTGAAACGTATATTATGTTTATTACGAAAGTTTCGGCTATATATGCAGACAGCAAACATTTCAACGAAAAGATCCCTGAAGAGTTTGAAAGACTCATTTACTTTGATCTTTTAGATGGTAAGATCATCAAATAATCTAATATTATTTATAAGTTTTTATTTAGTTGATCTCCAGAGCATTATATTTCTAATAAAATTTCTACAATCCGATCTAGTGCATGAACATGAAACTACTAAGCTTGTTTTTATTAAAATTCAACGAATAATTGAAAGTCATGAAAAATTGAAACGTAAAATAACTGAATATTTTAATTCATTCAATATCAACATCGAGCATTTAGAAGATATCAGTTACATTCTTGGTTCGAAATCGAAATGCTCTCTTTTGGATTATATTAGAACAGATGATTTATTACTTAAATCGTTAACGAAGAATAACTCGCATGAATACTATATCAAATGGTTTAAATGTTTCTTGGCAAACAGTCGAGAATGCAATGGTGACAATCATGAACAATACAAAAAATTACTTAGATTTTGGAGAAACTGTTTTGAGAGTGATTTTCCAAAATTTATGAGCGTCTTAAAGACGCTGGATGAACTACTTCATGCTTTAGAAATATCAATCGATAAAAATTGGTTTCGTCTATATTTTATTGATGATATAATCGATCTCTGCTTGAAGCAAAGTAAATATTATAAATTTATTTTTCTTTTTGGTATTAAACATATTTTTTTGTAGACAATATTTTTCGTGTAATTGAAGATGGCCTCTTAGGTGTGCAAAATGAAAGCTTTCGTATGCGGTTTAAAGATGAATTCTATAATAAATATTTAATTGGTGAGCAACAGAAGCTATTCAAGAAATTAACAGACGATGATAGTTTATTTTCCAAATTGATTGAACTTCATGAAAAATATTCTAATCAAAGTCTTTTAGTACATGACTTAATTCAAATAATATGTGATGAAATTAAAATTACCAAGGATGATTTACTACATGATACGTTCAATGAACCTACTACTTTCACATCTACTTACGTCATTCTATTTAGATATTCTGTTAGGACACCATCTCTGTATATAAAAGTTATCGAACAATTAATACTTTTGTGGGAAGAATGGGAAAAAGACGATTTTAAAGTTGCTGATACAGAAACTTGGAATAAACTTAAGAATGATCAAAGACAAATTGCTTGTGATATATGGAATGTGGTTGGAGAGCATGCAGGAAAAACAATTCGTTTTGAACAGTTAATTGATGAGACAAACAGAAAAATGCAAATGATATTGGC